CTCTCTCTCTCTCTCTCTCTCTCTCTCTCTCTCTCTCTCTCTCTCTCGCTATGGTTCACAATGTAGTTCTCTGCTATTTCTCCAGCACCATGTATGCCACCACACTCCCCCTGTGATGGTAATGGACTAAGCCCCAGATACTGTAATCAAGCCCTCCTCCCCCGTTAAATACTTTCTTTCGTAAAAGTTGCACAAGCTGATGATGTCTCTTCACAGCACTAGAACAGTGACTCACATGTTTCAGGTAGCACTTACTAATAAGATAGTGGTCTTATTTTATTTTGTGTTCTGGTTAATTCACCATTCTCATGTGAAGTTAAGAAGAAAGCTGTTGTACTAAGCAGCAACTGTCTAGACTTGTCATTGATGATCACCTTATGTTATCTTGGTCCTGTAATCTCTTCTTTATTCCAATCTTTGCTGTACTTCTTCTTTATTCCAATCTTTGCTGTACTCACTATAAAAAAGAGTGCTGGCCCCACTTTAAAAATTTTTATACGATTTATACAGAGTGATTTTTCTGACTTCCATGCTCAGTAAGTCAACAATTAGCCTTTCAATATAAACTTGCAGTCAGGCGGTGGTGGTGCATGCCTTCAATCCCAGCACTCAGGGAAGCAGAAGCAGGCAGATCTCTGTGAATTTGAGACCAGCCTGGTCTGCAGAGTGAGTTCCAGGACAGCCAGGAACTGTCTTGAAACCTTGTTTTGAAAAACCAAAATAATAATAATAACAATAATAATAATAGACTAGCTATGTCTTTTCCCATAACTTTACTGAAGTCTAGTTGACCTACAATAAACTGCATATGGGTAAGGTATACAATTTGAAAAGTTTTCACATTACATTCATGTACGTGAAATCATCAACTAAGACAATGAACATAGTCAGTACCCTAAAATATTTCTTCTTATCCCTTCGAAGGTTTTGAGGGGTGGTGCTTGAGTCTGAACCAAGGTTTTATGCATGATAGGCATGCATTCACCGCTGCAGTAACCACTTCTAGTCCCAACCGTTTCGCACATGTCAGGCATGCATTCAGCGCTGTAGTAGCCACTTCTAGTCCCCATTTGGTCACTGTAGTGTTTCTCACCCGACACCATTCTCTAAGCAACCACTGATCTGATTTTTGTCACTAAAGATTCCTTGAGGGGAGAACATTTTCTAATTTTTTAAAAGCCTCTCTTCTTTTAGTCTAAGTATTTCAGTTCATCTGTAGGTAGAAGCTGTTTGTTTGTTTCCTGGCCGCCCAGATCCGAAATAATCACACAAAGCTATACTAATTACAACACTGTTTGGCCTATTAGCTCAGGCTTCTTTTAACTAACTCTTACATCTTAAATCAACTCATTCCTATTATTTTGCATTTTACCACAAGGCTCGTGGCCTACTAGTAAGGTTCTCAGGCATCTGTCTCCTTTGGCAGCTACATGGCATCTCCCTGACTCCACCTTCTTTTCTCCTCTATCTCTGCATGGAATTCCCACCTATCTCTATTCTACACTGCCATGGGCCCAAAGCAAATTCTTTATTAACCAATGGTAATAAAGCATATCCACAGCATACAGAGGGGAATCCCACATCATACATCTACATGTCAATGTATTCTTTATTATTGATGAGTCCATTGTGTGGCTTTATGAATTTATTTTAAAAAAGTGAATGTTTTCCATTCTCCTGTTGACAGATATCTCAGTTATTGTTCTATTACTGTGAAGAGACATCATGGCAACTCTCATAAAGGAAAACACTTAACTGGGGCTGGCTTACAGTTCACTATTAGTCCCTTATTGTCATGGCAGGAAGAAGCATGGTGGACATGATACTGCACAGTGGCTGAGAGTTCTACATGTGGACCTGCAGCAGCAGGAAGAGAGAGCGACACCGGGCCTGGCTTGAACATCTGAAACCTCAAAGCCCATCCCCAGTGACATACTTCCTCCAAAAAGGTTACATCTACTCCAACAAGGCCACACCTCCTAATAGTGCCATTCCTGTGGGCCTATGGGGACCATTTTCGTTTAAACCACCACATCAGTCATCTGGTTGTTTCCGGTCTGGGTTTGTTACAAATAATTACAATTTTGGTGTACTTAATTTTTGCAGGGTTATATGTTAGAAATGGGATGACTGAATTATGTGGTTAGGGAGTGTGTGCTTAGCTTTTTAAAAAATGACCATGAAGGCCGGTCGGTGGTGGTGCACGCCTTTAATCCCAGCACTTGGGAGGCAGAGGCAGGCGGATCTCTGTGAGTTCGAGGCCAGCCTGGTCTACAAGAGCTAGTTCCAGGACAGGCACCAAAAACTATAGAGAAACCCTGTCTCAAAAATAAAAAAAAATGAAAAAAATGACCATGAAACTGAGAAGCTTCTGTAAAGCAAAGGAAATGCTCAATAAGACAAAATGATTGCTTACACCAACCTCACATCAGACAGAGGGCTGCTCTCCAAAATATACAAAGAAACTTGACATCAAAAGAACAAATAATCCAATAAAAATAGGGTACAGACATAAACAGAGAACTCTCAATAGATGAATCTCAAATGGCTGAAAGACACTTTAGGACATGGTCAACATCCTTAGTCATCAGAGAAATGTAAACCAAAACAACTCTGAGATTCCATCTTACACCTGTCAGAATGGCCAAGATCAAAAACATTGATGAAAGCTTATGCTGGAGAGGATGTGGAATAAGGGGAACACTCATCCATTGCTGGTGGGAGTGCAAACTTGTACAGCCTCTTTGGAAATCAGTATGACGATTTCTCAGGAAATTAGGAAACAATCTATCTCAAGGCCCAGAAATACCACTTTTGGGTATATATCCAAAGGATGCTTAATCGTGCCACAAGGACATGTGCTCAACGATGTTCATAGCAGCATTGTTTGTCATAGCCAGAACTTGGAAACAACCTAAATGCCCCTTGACCAAAGAATGGATAAGGAAAGTGTGGTACATTTACACAATAGAGTACCACTCAGTGGTAAAAAGTAAAGACATCTTGAAATTTGCAGGCAAATGGATGGATCTAGAAAAAACTGTATTGAGTGAGGTAACCCTGACCCAGAAAGACAAACATGTACCACTCATAAGTGGCTTTTAGACATAAAGCAAAGAAAAACTAGCCTACAGTCCATAACCTTGGAGAACCTCGACAACAAAGAGGACCCAAAGAGAGGCAGACATGGATCTACATAGGAAGGAGAAAAAAGACAAGATCTTCTGAGTAAATTGGGAGTGTGGGGGTCATGGAAGAAGATAGAAGGGGAGAGGAAGAAGGGATCGGAGTGAAGAAAAATGTATAGATCAGTAAAAACAATTAACAAAGACCACAATCTTTTCACTATAATTGTATCATCTTACACACATCTTGCAGGCAATCTATAATAATCCCAGTTCAGCATTCTTGTCACCATCTAATATTGCCCTTTCAATTTTAGCTGCTCTTGTGGTATTGCATTGATACTTCATTTTCCTTCTAATTTACATTTCCTTAATGAATAATGTTGTCAGACATCATTGCATGTGATTATTCACCATCTATAATCTAGAAGGTTTGTCCACTCGTTAGCCATTTGAAAAAAGTGGTTGTTTCTTTTTTGAGGTTTAAGAATTGTGTATTCTAATTAGAAGTCCTTTGTTTAATATATTCTGCTTTTTCCAAGTCTGCAGCTTGCCATTCCTTTTTTTCTGTCTTTTTAAAAAATTATTTTATTTTATTGATTTTTATGCATGTGAACATTTTGCCTGGAAGTATATGCCAGCAGCCTTGAGCCATACAGTCCTCCAAAGCTAGCAGGTGGGGTGGAGCTTAGTTTCCAGGCAACGCGCGAGGGCGTGGACTTGCGTCACTGAGGTGCGACCGGGACGGCCGACGCTGCGCTGCCGCCTAGCGGGTTTAGCTAAGCAGCGAACGAGGCGGCGTCGCTGGCGCTGGGAGAGCAATGCCTTGAACGGGGTGAGCCTTGCAGCGCCGCCCCCTCGCCGTGTCCCTTCGCAGCCGCTCCACCGTCCTGGAGCGGGAGTGGAGGCCCGCGCAGCACGAGGTTGCGATGCCGGGCTTCGGGGAGCTAGGCCGTGCTGGTCAGGGCCTCGGCTGCGGGGCCTGGGGCACCGGCTTCTAGGGCGGGTGGACGCGCTGCTTCCGCCTTCGAGGTGGGCGGTGGTGCTGAGGAGAGGTTTCCGACCAGCTCTGACAGTTTTGAATCTTGGCGCTGGCGCAATAAGCAGTTTAACTGTTGGTTAGCAGAGCAGGTGCACCGAGGAGGGGCCGAGGGGCGGCGGCCGAGGCGGGAGGGTGGCCACAGGGCAGGGCTCCTAGGGGGAAGCCTGGGCCTGGAGCGGCGGCCAACCCACCTTCTAAACCCGCCCAGGCTATCCACTTGGGCCTTTGCTTGTCAAAATAATTGCTACCTTGAGAACCGACACTGATGAAAAAGTTTCCTTGCTAATCATAATTGTAGGGTAAGTCGCCTTCTGTGTGCAGTTTCATTCCAGAATGTCGGTTTACTGTTGTACTTCTCCAGCCTATTAAGTAAATGGCAGTGTGCCTGCATATTCTGACCCAGCCCCATGTCTTGATGCCCAGTACCTCATTTCCTTCTGGATATATGTAGCTACAGTAACACTCCCAGTTGCTTTTAATCCTATGTCTCGAACTAAGTTGGTCATTTCCACTCCTCCCCTGCCCGTTGTTGCTATAGAATAAAGTTCATCCTTCAGAATTAGCATGGTCTCTCCACCCCCCCCCCCACACCTTAATGCTATCTGGTTTTAGTTTCTGTTTGTTTTCCTCCTTAATATGATTGTGTTTTTCAAAAAGGTTTTGTCATTTGACACAAGGGAACAGTATATATAAGGAAAATATATACAGTATTTGATCTTGTTTGGTTCTTTGAATACATCTAAATTCTCTAATTAGAGGAAGTTGATTTCTCTTCCTAAACAGGCAGAAAAGTTGCAAAGAGAATTCATACAAATCTAGTATATTTTAAAAAATAAGTATATATTAGAACTCCAGCAGTTGATCAGTACTCTGTTTGTAGATTTCCAGTGTTTGTGAAAAGAGTTCTTTAGTTTCATTTTCTCCTCCTTAAGACCTTGGCCCCAGAACAGGAATTCTAGATTCATGGTGACTGACCAGCCTAATCATTGAACTGTTATATCTGTGTTAATTTCAATAGCTGGTACTTCTTCTAAATTTAAAGTTTGTGTAAGCAGTGAATAATAAGGTAGATAGTGTCCTTCATGACCCAGTTGTAGAACTTAGTATTTATTACTAAGATTGTAACAGATTTCAAAGGTGCCATTAATACCTCAATCCTTGTCAACTGATCATCGTCTGTGTGTGTGTGTGTGTTTGGAGGGGGGGGTTCAAGTGGGCTCTAGAAGTCAACCTTGGGTCTGGTCAGACTGCACCTGCTGGCTAGCAAGTCCCAGTGCTCTGCTTTTCACATGACGTCAGGGCTAGAACTCCGGTTGGTCCTCAGCCTCCAGCTGACCTCTCTAACCCTCACCTACTCATCTTGCATGTTGATTGTCTCAGTTTCCCACTAATCCATTTCTGGATAGGTTTGTGGTTTACATTTTCAGAGTCTCTGTGTGTGAGCATTACTGGTGATGCCGTTGTTACAATCTTAGAAGGAACACTGAACTACAGCGGCTCATGTGCCACCCACTGAAGAATGTGGCATTTTTGGAATCCTTGCTGTTCCCGTGACTTCCAGAATAACAGCTTTTATTTAGAACCCCCCCCCCCCCAGCTGCTTTCAGGAAGCACATCTCTTTTTTTCTAGAAGGGGCCATGCTAAAAGTGGCTCTGTGATTTGAGAGCCCACCTCCTAGCTCTTAGAGGAGTCCAGACCACAGACTTGTCTTTTACTGAATTTTATTGCCAGTGTTTTACCAGCAAATTGTGTCTGCAAGCAGCATTACTGTTCTGTGGTTTCAAGGGAGATATTTTGTGTTGTTTCCCAATAGATAGATAGATAGTTAGATAGATAGATAGATATCAATGATAAGTTTTTACAGCTTTACATTTTCCATAAATATATTTTAACTTGTGCTCCATGTTATTGTGGATGCACGACTAAGCTAATAATAGCATGCTAGATGAGTGATAAAAACGCACTGTGTTGACTAGAGAAATAATATACACTTGTCTGGTTTTCAAAAGCGAGAGCACAGGTAAGTATCCTGTGAACTCATAGAGGAGGTGTGTAATTGGCTGGTGGCTGAAGGGTGACATCAGCAGATGGATTTTGTGGATAATAATGTCAGTGGCTCCATATTACACATAAATAATTGTCATATTTTTTACACTAGTGATGAAATTTGTTAATATTGGTTAAATGAAGGCCCTTCCTCCTATCTAGTGTGAACACCCTGGTTCCATGCCCTCAGGTAGGTGTGGGGTCACTGATTCAGTTTCCTGGATTCTAAGTGCCATTACAGGAAAACAATATGCTGCCTCACACTGTAACCCTTGACATTCAAAGTTAGGGTACCAATGAGACAACGGGTATTTGCCACTCAAAGTTAGGGTACCAGTGAGACAATGCAACATTGTCTAATTCAAAAACCAGCAAAGACTTCTTTGCAGATGGGGTTTTGATGAACAGTGTAGGATACCAAAATATGACACTTAAGCATAAAAAGTTTTTTAAAGTACCAGATAAAAGATCCTACTCTTCCTCCTCAAGTAGGGGGACGAAGCAATCATGTTTTTACCAGGGGAAATTGCCCTAACCCCGGCTCCTTTGTCTGGGCATCTTTTCACAGTTGTCTAGTAAGTGTCTGTGCTTTGGGTCCTATTTATGGTCCTATTTTTCTTGTGAAGATTTCCCCATACATGTAAAAAAACAAAACAAAACTGTATATAGTTTTCTCCTGTTTGTTTTAGTTAATCTTGGGAACAGCGGGAGACCCTGAGAGGTACAGGAGGGGACAGTCGCCTCCTCTACAAATGTTGCTCCAGTTGTCATCACTTCCATTAAGTCTCGATTTTAGAAGTTTGGTTTTCTCTCTTAGGTGATGGAGATGGAATTGGAAGCACCAAGCTGGCTGGTGAGAGTCTGTGAGGCTCGGACAGTAGAGCTTGAGGAAAGTTAAGCTTCATTTTGAGAGCAAAATGTTAGGTTAGAGCAGTGGTTCTTAACCTTCCTAATGCTGTGTGCCTTTAATGCAGTTCCTCATGTTGTGGTGACCCCCAACCATAGAATTATTTTTGTTGCTACTTTATAACTTTAATTTTACTATTATTATGAATCATAATGTAAATATCTGTGTTTTCTGGTGGTCTTTGGGGTCACAACTCACAGATTGAGAACCACTGGGTTATAGGTTAGCACCTCCATTTTTCACCTGGAAAATTCCCTGCGTAACTCATTAGATGAACTTCCAATCTTTAAACATTTTCATATTATGCATTGAGAAGTTCACGTCTGTTGCAGTAGCCCTTTCCATCGCTGTGGTGGTAGGGCATTCTTTCATAAGTCTGACCTTACCCTCTTACTTATTGGCCAATCTGCTCTTTGTAAGCAAGTAAAACAATCTCACTTCTCTTCCGTGTAATAGCTCCTCAGTTATTTGAGCAGGCTGTTGTGCCGCACAGATCATTACATAGCTGTGCACAGCCACAGTCATGTAAAACAGTCTGCTTCTAAACCCATGACTCTTGGATGTGGTCTAATGCACTGGTACTTTTAAAGGGTGTGGCTGCCTTGAGCTGAATGGAAGCCTCCTGTGTGGTCAGCCCATTGTGTAATACAGTAGAGCGGGAGGCTCCTTGCTGTAGACATCACTTCTAGTAGGAGTTTAGGGTTGTTTTGATGTCTTTGCTTAACCTGTTGTACTGCTATTTTTGATTGACAGCTTCAGGACTCCTATTTTTATGCTCTCTAAAGCACATCTTACCTAGGTGCTTTTGTGCAGTCACTTTTCAGAATGCTTCCCAGGATTAACTTCTAGCTGTATTTAGACTTAGCAAGTCACTGAGACTTACTCAGTAATATGGTTCTTTCATTCTCGTCTTGGTCAGCCAGATTGGGCAATTATCTGAAAAAATCTTAAACACCCGTCTTGATTTTGTTTTGGTGTCACCTTCAGGAGAAGGATCTCTGGTCACACCAGTGTGTTTATTTCCCTCAAAGACATCGTGATCTACCTGTCTCATATACTCTTGGAAACTTCTGCCCAACTCTCTTGCAAACCCAGACTATCTTTCTGGACTCAAGTGTTTGCCCAGGATTTCTTTTCCAACTCAAAACACCCTCCTGGGCTTTTAAGGCACTCTGTATTTATTTGGTGTGGTGTTTCTCATTTTGTAAATATGCTCACTTGTGTGACTTTGCCCCACCCCAGCTGTGTCGGATGCCCTGTGGTGCCGAGAGCTGTCTTTTAGTTTGCTCACCATCCTGTCCCCAGGCCATAAACAATGCAAACAGTACTTGTTAAACATACTTTTTATTTTTTTCACAGCATTTCTCTGTGTAGCCCTGGCAGTCCTGGAACTTGATTCATTGACCAGGCTGGCCTTGAACCCAGAGATCTGTCTGTTGCTGCCTCCAGAATACTGGGATTAAAGGCGTGCACCATCACAGAGCAGTTAAACATAATTTTTAGAAAGACCATGTATGGCACTGGTTTCCAGCTGGTCTGTAGCCATTTGCTTATGATGTTTCTACACATTTGAAATAGAACATGAAAAGTAAAGATAGCATGTGATTAAATATCTATCTGCAGCATCAGGGTGAAGTCACTGCCTTTCTCGGCAGGGACTTACTCTAATGCCATACCCTACTTTTCATGTTATTGTTCTTTTACATTTTTCTTAGGTTTGGGGCATTTGGGAATTTTTGTTTTGAAACTGTTCTTGCTTAGGATAAAATAGAGTTCAACACTGTTGTGTTTTGGGTTGTCACTAGTCTGTGCTGCCCAGAAACCACTAAGGTGAATTCCCTGGACACCTTTTCTAAGCTGGGAATTTTAATGATTCCACTTTGGATATAGTTTGCGATCTGTTATTCTTGAACACATTTAAAATGTATTTTTTTTGCCTTCAGAGATTATGTTTAGTAATCCAGGTTTCCCTTCTTTTTTACTGTTCCCCTAGTATGGTATTAATTGCTACCACATAGGTTTCGATCCAAAATAGTAATGGGGGAATTTATTTTTTAGTATAATTGTACTTTTACTATATTTAAAGTAACTTTAAAAAAATATATAGTACATTAAATTTTAACACTGAAAGTGATACATGCTTATGGTTATATACTTTAGTTTGAAGTCACATTTTTTAAACATTTATTATTTGTCTTGTGAGTATACGTACGTGTGTCTAGGGGAGCACATGCTACCGTGCATGTATGGAAGTCAGAGGACAGCTTTCAAGAGTTGTTTCTTTCCATCCTGGAATTCCTGGGGATAGAACTCTGGTTGTCAAGCTTGGCAACAAGTTCAGATGCCCACACGCCACCTTGCCAGCCCTAAAGTCACATGTTTTCTACTTAAAACTATAATGTCACTTTTAAATTACACGATAAAGCAAGCTTTCTGATGAAATTCTTTTCTATGTAATTGTTACCACTTCTCTTGCTTTATGTGGTAAGGACATTAATTTGAGTAAAAGCAAAAGATTTTTTAAATGGTAAATGAAATGGACTTTCTTGAGGTGGGAGTTCAAAGTTCACATCTACCTCATACCATAGATTTAACCATTTCCTTATCCATGGAATGGGGATATAAAGAATGCATTACCCTGTAGGTGTTGTGAGTAGTGAATGATGTCATCTGTGGAAAGCGTTTAGTTTGGAGCTGACGTGTGTGTGTGTGTGTGTGAGAGAGAGAGAGAGAGAGAGAGAGAGAGAGAGAGAGAGAGAAAGAGAGAGTGTGTGTGGGGGGGGCTTTGTTTTTGATAGAGACCCATCACTCTTCTAATATCATAAGTGAATCATTTAGCTTTATGATTCTGAAAACTTAACATAAATCTTTACTTTAAAAACTGTGGTTAAATAAATTGCGTCTCAGATTCATTTGAGTTGACGGAATCCCTCTAAAGGTGCTTGTAGTTTTTCTTTGCTTTTTGAAGGATGAGTGTGCTAGATAGTTTTATGTCAACTTGACACAAGCTAAAGTCATCTGAGAAGGGGGAATCTTCAGTTGAGAAATTTCTTTCATAAGATGGGGCTGTAGGCAAACCTGTAGGTCATCTTCTTAATTGGTGATCACTGGGGGAGTGGCCACCGTTAGGCTGGTGGTCCTGGGTTCTGTAGGGAAGCAGGCTGAAGAGGCTACAAGGAGCAAGCTAGTAAGCAGCGCTCTTCGTGGCCTCCACATCACCTGCCTCCAGGTTCCTGCCTTGGGTTCCTGTCCTGGCTTCCTTTGGTGATGAACAGTGATGTGGAGGTGCAAACCGAATAAACCCCTTCCTCCCCAAGTTGCTCTGGTCATGCATGGTCTTTCATCACAGCAGCAGTTACCGTAACTAGGACAATGAGATTATTGGTATTTTTTATGTTGGTATCTTTTATAATTATGTACAAATAACTTTTGCATTGTATTTAACAGAAATGATGTGAAGCAAAACTCTGAATTCTGAAAGACACTATTTCACCATGGGACAGCAAATTTCGGATCAGACGCAATTGGTTATTAACAAGTTACCAGAAAAAGTAGCAAAGCACGTCACCTTGGTTCGGGAAAGCGGCTCCTTAACTTATGAAGAATTTCTGGGGAGAGTAGCCGAGCTCAACGATGTGTAAGGCTTGCTCATCTCCATCCTGTTTCCCTCGTGTGTGACCCGTTTGTCATGGCTGTACAGAAGGTGACCGTATGCGCTGGTGAATGAATTCTCTTAACATAAGTTAGAAAGTGCTACGTTGACTGCCTGCCCTAAGCAGACTTTAATGTAGCTATTTTAACATACGGAAAGGAACCGAGGGATGGGAGGAACTTAGATGAAGTTAGAACACAGACAACGGGTATGGCGTAGCAGTGCTAGGTTTAGGTTGTCCTGCATCTCAGCAGCTGTGTACTGAGAGCTGTGGCTGACTCTGCTGTGGAAGACTTAAAGGGCGCACAAACAGAAGAGAATTTGCCTTCGGTCCCCGAGGAAAAGTCGGACAGTCAGAAGCATCAGCCATGTATCTCTGTGTGGGCCGCCTGTTTGTTCACTGAAGTACAGTCTGCCTTACACTCTGGACTGAGTTCCTAAGATGGTGTAAATTTCTCACCTTGAACTTAGGCTTTATAGATTTCAGTTTTTGTGCTGATCTATGTAGAAGCTTTTTAAAATACAAAGGGTTCTTTGCCCTCTAATGGCCTCAGACACCAATGCTTTCTCAGTACTGATGGATGGGTGATACTTTTTTTCCCTCTTAAACCTTCCTCTGGTAGCACCTTATACTTTTCTTTTCTGTGTCAACCCTTTGTCTCTTTGAGAGTTTATTTAAAACTTGCCTAAGATACTTTAAGTGATATATTTAAAAAATAATTTTATTTTGTATATATAAGTTTTTGCCTGCATGTATGTTTGTGGACCACATGCATGTCTGGGTGCATGTAAAAGCCAGAAGAGGGCACCAGATCTACCGAGACTGGAGTTACATAACATTGTGGACTGCCATTAGGTGCTGGAAATTGAACCCAGGTCACCTGTAAGAGTAATCGGTGCTCTTAACCACTGGCCCATCTTTCCAGCTCCCCTAAGTGACATCTTAAAGGTACTCTCTAGTCTCTTCAGTCTAACCAGTGTTCACTGAACACATGATATGCACAGTGTACTGCACCAAGGGTTTGAAAATTTTAACTGATTATCCATTTTAATTGACTACTCAAAAATTGACGACACTTCCAGCTGTCTGTGAATCAGAAGTTCCTTCCGTTATCCTACATTGCTTCTCATTCAAGCGCCTCAAGCCCAGGACCACTATATGCAAATTTATAGTAGTACAGCCACTATTAATAGCTTGTGCTAATACGTATGCTCCTGTTCCAGAGGCTTTTATGACAATCGTGTTGGATAAGTGTTGGTGTACAAGAAAGTTCCACAATAGCCCAGAATGAAGTATAACAAAGGCTGATTTATCTGGGGATAAACTCAGAGAGAGAAGTGATCCACAGTCCTCTGTGTGCGCTGGGAACTGGAACTGAATCCAGCAGCCAAGAGGCCCGTGCATTTATAGTACATGAGACCATGCCCAGAGTGGGCCGGTATCTTAAAGGCTATTGGCTGAAGGAATTCCCATAGCAGATAAAGGACATACTGACAATATGAAACATAGGATCCTACTTTCTTTATGAATATAGTGCCTATTTTCAGTAAGTTATGAAGTCTAAAGGACAGTCCTAAGGTTTTTATTAGGAGTTGTTTTCTTTTAAGAACACTGGATTTTATTAATTAAAAAAAGAAAAAATAGCTCATTTTTGAGATCATATTTATATAAATAAGTAAAATAGGACTGAGTGTGCTCGCTTCGGCAGCACATATACTAAAATTGGAATGATACAGAGAAGATTAGCGTGGCCCCTGCACAAGGATGACACGCAAATTCATAAAGTGTTCCATAGTATATAAAAAAAATAGGACTGAGAATTCTGTAGTTTCAAAAGAATAGTGTACCTTATTCTTATTTCAACTTTTAAAAATATTACATTTATTTATGGGGGCAGTACCCAGGTAGAGGTCAGAGGACAACTTGAGGAATCTGCCTCTCCTAACTTGTAGGTCCCAGGGATTGAACACAGGTGGCCAGGCTTGGGAACAAGTGCCTTTGCCAAACACTAAGCCATCTCTCCATTGTTCCATTCATAACTTTTGCCATCCTTTAGTACTTTATATATGTAAACTCAGACTGTTTGATGAAATTTTGCTTGTTTACCTAAAGTTTTTAGAAGAAGAAGGAAAAAACCTCTGTCCTGTGACATCACCTGCAAGCTAAATTATTGGCAACAGTAGAAATATATTCCTTTTGTTTACTTGGGACAGGATACCTGAGTGAATTTGAGGGGTTTTATCTTGTTTATTTTTGATGTGTTACAATTTTTGTTTTGTTTTAACAGTGTTGAAAATTAAGCCTAAGCATTTACTGCTGCCTGTGCACTGAGCAATGCCAGCAGTGTGGTTTAAACCCATTTCCATGAGCTAGAATTGGGCATTTCATGAGTAGTGCTCCCTGCTTGCTGTCTGCCAACCCTAAAGTCAAACACAGAGGTGTGGCTTGGTTTCTGGGAAGCAACTGGAAACTGGCTGGCTTCCTGGAGACAGGTTGCTTGGCTTAGCTGGAAGGCATTTAATTGTGTGCAGCTCTGCTGCTGGTGTTCAGAGAAAAGTCAGCAGTGGGAAAGGAAGCTGTTTTTAGGGCTTCAGATCCATTTTAGTTGGTGTTGATAGCAAGATTCTGACTGTTGTGTTGTCTTTATGCTAGTGTGGCTCTTGTAGTTCTTCTTGAGGAAAGGGAGTAGAGCTGTATTTAATATCACAAACTGTTTGCTTTACTTGGCTGAACCCAAAATTAGTATACTTTAAAAGCTTTCAAAAAAGTATGTTAATGTGGTTATGTAAACAGGATTCAACCAAGAGCAAGGTATTCCTCAAAATTACGTCTATTTGGTCAGTGTTTGTGTAAGTTAAACCAACAGGCTTTTACTTAAAGTGCCAGGTTTCTTAGGCTGTGTTTCTTAGGCTGTGTTCCTTAGGCTGTGTTTCTTAGGCTGTGTTTCTTAGGCTGTGTTCCTTAGGCTGTGTTTCTTAGGCTGTGTTCCTTAGGCTGTGTTTCTTAGGCTGTGTTTCTTAGGCTGTGTTTCTTAGGCTGTGTTCCTTAGGCTGTGCTCCTTAGGCTGTGTTCCTTAGGCTGTGTTCCTTAGGCTGTGTTTCTTAGGCTGTGTTTCTTAGGCTGTGCTCCTTAGGCTGTGCTCCTTAGGCTGTGCTCCTTAGGCTGTGCTCCTGCATGTTTTCTCATGCAGCACAAGCCTGGCTCTAAGCTCTCCTTGGGTTCCTGATCCTCCTGTCTGCCATCTTCCAGGCTAGTGTCACCATGCCCAGCCTTAGACCAATTTTTTCTAAACATCCTTTTTAGACACTCAAAGACAATTGAAATGCAGATATGGAGACAAGTATTCCACAGAACTTTTGGCTTTAAAAACTTTGGAAACTAAGTGCGTGTTCAGAACGTTTCTGTCCCTGTGCTGCAGGAGTCAGCTTTTTACATCACTTCTGCCTTTTTCTCCCTTGTTGGAAAGTGTTTCTTGAGTTTGGTTTTACTTTTCATAAAATTAACAAATGTGCTTGCCTTTTTCCAGAACTGCTAAGGTGGCTGCTGGCCAGGAAAAACATCTTCTCTTTGAGGTACAACCTGGGTCTGATTCCTCTGCCTTTTGGAAAGTGGTTGTACGTGTGGTCTGTACAAAGGTAAGACTGGTAGAGTCTTCTGTTCAGAGTCATGCTGTGTGGGTGGTTAGAGGCACAGTAATAATGTAATAGACTGTAAATAAGTGTTTTTGCTTTTGTAGTCTTATAAAACATAGGGTGTGTATGTGTGTATGTGTGTGTGTGTGTGTGTACGTATGCATGTGCATGTGTGCATGTGTGTGCCTATGTAAGCCTGTGTATGCGTGTGTACATCATGGTTGAGGCCAGACACCGACATGAGGCATCTGCCTCTATCATTCTTCACCTTGTGTTTTGAGACAGGGTCTGAACCTGACACTCACTCACTGTTTCGGCTAGACTGGCAGGCCAGGAACCCCACCCCATGCCAGGATCTGCTCATCTCTGCTCCCCTAATGCTGGGCTTACGTGCACACCTTTGTACCCAGATTTTATTTTGTACCAGTGGGTGCTGAGTGTCTGAGCTTAGATTTTCATGCCTGTGTGATTGACACTTTACCGAACCACTTTTTTTTTTTTTTTTAGTAAATTTTATTAAATTATAAAAGTTTCCATTTCCGCCCCCCCTCCCAACACCCTCCCACTCCCCCCACTCCCCCCCTCCTTCCCCTCCGTCCCCCAGGGCAGTCAGGGTTTCCTGCCCTGTGGGAAGCTCCAGCTCCCTCCCCCTCCCTCCAAGTCCAGGAAGGCGAGCGTCCAAACAGACTGGATCCCCAAAATTCAGCATATGCAGAGGAAACAGGTCCCAGTGTCATAGTCAATGGCTTTTCAGAAAGACCCCGGGCCAGCCACAGTCAGAGAATCCAGCCAAATTCCGAGAATCTGGCTAGATCACGTCCTCGTTCAGTCCCAGTCCGACTGGCCCTGGTAAATTCTCATCAGATCCGTTCCCTTGTATCAGTGGGTGATAGCATCCCTCGCAGTACTGATTTCATCTTTCATACCGAACCACTTTTTTGGCCCCCAAAGCATCATGTGATACTGTTCTTGCGTCAGGCTGACTGTCTGACTCTCACTGTTGTCAACTGCCGAGTCAGAGATTTTATAGTTGGTGGAAGTGGTGGTAAGCTTACCTTTGCCCTCCATCTGTCTTTTGAGACTTAGCGAGCTGTAGAACCCTCCGAGGACACCATAATTAGCTCTGAGATGATACCTTAAAAATTAGTTACCTTAGGAAATTCCTTCTTTTGGGAACATTGGGCTACATTCACCTGAAAACAATATCCACCAGAGAGGCCATGGAGATTTTGAGTTATGGAGTGGACTTTTGTCAGGAACGTACTATTTTGTAATTGGGTTTTTATATTTTAGATAACTGCTAAAAATATCTTGGCAGCTGTTGCAGAGTATTGGAAAGCTTCCTGCTCCCAGTGAGTTAATTAAAATAACAATTCTTAGTCCCAGGCCTTTGAGAGGAAGTGAATTTTATTAGCTCTCCTTCAGTCTCAACCCCTCCTCTCAAAGGTAAGATATAAACCTTAATTCACAGCTGTGGATGCCCTGAAGTCCATTCCTGACCAGTCAGACTCTCCCCCAGGTGAGTCACTTGACTGTCTGAAACATATTATATAAATGGTAACACTCTGTTTATGGACATGGATAGAGTCTAATATTGTTAAACAAATCTTGAAGGACAAAGGACAGTCTTAAGAGAGTTATCTCAGAAGATGATTTTTTTTAAGAACACTGGATTTTACTCATTAAAAAAGGGAAAACAACTTTTTATGATATGAGTATATGTATATATATAACACACTAGAACAAATGGTATAATACACTGCAGGTAAATGCTAGTGAGTCCCAGGACAGAGACCGTCGTGATAGCCTGTTCCTTCCACAGTGAGTTGTCAGGTTTACCTCTGCTTACTTCCAGTTTCTTCAAGCAGAAATGTGAGCAACACACTAGGACCTAAGTTCAGGCAAATGCCATGTCCTTGAGGAAATGAAACTGTTTATAGTTCAGGCCCCATCCCTTCTGAGCAAGAATGCCATAGACTGCTGACTCCACACTTCCAGAATCCTCCAGGCTCCAGTTTACGCTGCTGTGAAATGATTTGTGAAGCGCAGTTCTCAGCTCACGGCCTTGCTGAACACTACAGGCCTCACCTACAGACTCTGCCCTGCTCTTGTCTGTGGTGTTCATGGGCTGCCATGGGACTCCACACTTCTCTTCTGCTTTATTCACTATTCCCTTTTGCATTCTGCATGCCGCCAGTGTTAGTGAATTGAAAGTGTTACTTTTACAACTCACACCCTCTGATAGTAAGTTCCCTCGACTAGAATGTCTTTTCCTTCTGTCACTTTAATGGTCATCAGCTATGAGTCACAGAATACTTGCTTTAAACTAGTTTAAACAAAAGCCTTTTATCTTTTCCTTGCATCAGCAAATCCTAGTGCACTGGCTCCAGAGCTGGTTACAGGCCCAGCAGATCTCATAACCCACTGGTCACTATTCAGTCATACCTTCTACACACACACACACACACACACACACACACACACACACACACACACA